ATGGATGATTTGGGCTGGGTTTTCAAAGGCCTACAGGTTCCCCTGCTCCTTCAGCAACTTCATACGAGATGGGAATGGTACCCAGCCCCCTCTTCCAGTGCCCTCTGCAGAGGCCATTTCACATAGAGGTCATGGTAATACCTTCAGTTATCAGGAATGTCACCTCCTTTGCAGAGAACTGAGGTTCATTGGGGTTAAATGATCAAGATCCCGCAGGTGTCAAACAAGACACAGGAGGCTGGGGCCCAGGTTCACCGTACTGCATCTGTAAGCATCTGTATGTTATCAGCTGTGTACTGCCACCGTCCATGTGATCTGTAGAGTGTAGGAAAAGGAATGTGTCCTGGGGAGGTTGAATTGGGAGATGAGTGTGGGTGGCGTGCAGGTGTGGCAGGGCCGCAGGCATTAAGGCTGAGCATCGGTTGTACAGGTGCGGCTGGAGGCCTGCTGAGATAATAGCACTGCTGTGACTATTCAGAGCCCTAGAAGGAAAGTCTAGAAACGTCTACAGCACCAAGTGCGCAGACTGGAGTCATTATCTTGGAGCAGCAACCAGGTGTCGTTCTTTCACCAAAGGCAAAATGAGTGACAAAACAGCATGATTCAGAGACACAAGGGAAAGAAGGTCTCCCACTGCCATCATATCTCCCCAAAGAGGTGACACATCACCACCGAAACACAGAATGTGGATCAATTGAAAAACCAATGTCTCATCCCCATCCACACTGTTCTGGGACCAAGACCTGTCAGGTGACAAAGGCAGCCGTGAAAGCATGCGATTATGACTGGTGAAAGCTCTTCCAAACTAAATCAACAGGCTCACATTTTCATCCTGTCCGAGACATGGTTGTTTATGGAGTCGTCTCTGGGTCAGGACTGATGGGCCCCAGGTTACCCAAGAGTTAGCCTTAAAGATGGGGAAAGGGCTCTGAAAAAAGTGCCATTGAAAACTAATGTATAAACAAAAATAAGTTCTCCTGAGACAAAAATTTCCCTCAGTAGTAGGGGTATGTTATGCAGCTGGCCTGCTGACCTGACAGTGTCCACTGCGTCATGTGAAGGGGCCTCAGCACTGGACCTCCAAAGTGAGACAAAGGTGTGTTCATAGGACTCCTGGTTATTAATGAAAAGGCTGGACAACCTCTCTCCCATCTATTCCCCCAGTACATCAATTTCCTCTCTCAGGTTTTGCCTTAGGTATTAATTGACGAGCCTGGGAAGTTTGGAAACAGAGGCCTTGTTCTAAGTCTCCTGGTCCTTCCCCCTTCCGAACCCAGGCAGGAGGGAAAGTGAGTTCAGCCCAGGGAGATACTGAGCTCTGTTTTGATGAGTTGGGAAAACTTAACATTGATCCTGATGACTGCATAGCAGATAACCAGGTGGTCTAGGAAGAGAAACGTCATCTGGTGGAAGGAGAAGCCAGCGAAGCTTTGCATCCTGGGAGAGGTGCTCCTGCAGTAAGAGGTGAGTCAGGAGGAGACACAGGAAGCACAGGCAGGGGCTGGACTGTGACAGTCATTTCAGCTGAGGCAGGGAGCTTGGGTTTTATCATGTGATCATTGGAGAACTTATTTTAGTGGGTGAGAACTTTGGAAACTTAACTCAAAATAAATGAGATTTTGGAAACTGTGAAGGCTAGATTAGGGAGAAGAAAGAGCCCTTGGAGAATTCTTTCCCATCTATTCAAGAAACAAAACACACTGAGGTCATTAAGAGAAGCTATGGTGGAAAAGATTCATCACATATCCAGTCTTTTCTTCACCTCTGACCAGTTCCCACCCTGTTTTTAGTCAACTTCCTTCTTTTCTTTCGTGCCACTTGCCACTGGTTGACATTATATTTGTTTGTTGACTTATGTATTTGTTGATCTGTTTGTTTGTTGTCTCTCACGGTAGAACGTGAGCCCCCTGAGGGCAGGAGCCACATGTCCAAAGTTGACCTCTGCACCTACAGCATCTAGCCGCCCCCCACATTCACTGGATGAATGAATAAGCACGGATTCCTTCGCCCGCTGGTTCATTTATTACATTTTTAATGAGTGTACACTGTGTCCAGTCAATAAACGGAGCATTTGGTGTTTGGGCACTTGCAGTTCCACGTCATTGTGTTACAGGACATAGTGTCAAGATAACCGAATGTGTGGGCAGGCGCCGCAAGGCAGTTTTGTCACTTCCAGGAGCCTCGTGAGGTGGTGGGATGTGGACAGCATCTTCCTCCAGACACTCTTTCCTTTGTGCAGGCAACCAAAGGAAAAGGGCATTTCTGGAATCCTTGCGGTGAACGGGGAAGAGAGCTCTGGAATGCAGTGCCTGGCACTGTGTAGGGTGAGCTTTACTCTCCAAATCATGGCTGATATGATAAGAATTTAAACTGTTCTCCCGGATTCCATGAGAGAGCTCTGTGACAGGTGACCTGGACTATCTCAAGACATCTGGTTTGTAAGGAACAAGACTTTGTGCCCAGAGATGTCTGAGGAGGGAGAAGAGGTGCTTGTTAACTCAAAGGAGAGTTAACAGTGAAAGTGTGGACTACAGAAGAAACAGGGAGACAATGGTGCTTGGGCGATTCTTGGCTCCTGTGAACGCAGCATCAATCATCACTAATGAGAGAGCAGCCAGTTTGAAAATCTCGTCCACTTAATTACATCAATACAGCAGACACCTTGCAGGCTGTCTTCCCAGGTTGGATAATTATCATTTTTCCTTTCTTTCTGATAATTGCTTTGCTGTACCTCTCCTCACACGTTTATGGTCTGCTGGAAGCCATGTGTGGCTCATCCCTAGGAAGCCAACCTAGTTGGATGAATCAGAGCCTCCTAGGATTTGCAGTAAGTTCATCTTGTGATAGGTTAAGTGTCCACATTGTACCTGCCAGTGCATGGAAGGGCAGAACCAACCATCCCACATTTCTGGCTTGCTCATTTATTGTTTCTGTGGATTTGAGTTCCTTTCTGGTTTCCCATTCTTACTTTCACTCAGCTTTGCTCCCCTTTCCTCCTTTTCACTGTCATTGTTAGATGTGTGACACCTCCACATATTCTCAGCCCAGTAACACAATTACATACACGCTGGTTTGTATACCTGCTTTTAATTCAGTTAGCAGAAGAAAGGCAAATAAGTGTATGTTTATACTACTGTCTTTTATAATTATGTAATTACTTTTAATACTACTCTTTGTTTTATATGGATTCAAATTACTGTCTAAATAACTTGCTTTTAGCTCAAAGAACTTCCTTTCATATGTCTTGTAAGGTGAGTCTGCTATTAACACGTTCAGATTTTACCAGGAATTTATTTATTTTGCCTTCATTTTTGTACTATAATTTTGTTGGATAGAGGATTATTAATTTTTTTGAGACTTTTGGGTGTCATTCTGCTTCCTTCTTGTTCTATTATTTCTGATAAGTCAGCTGTCAATCTTATGCATTTCCCCTGTATCACATGAGTGATTTTCTTTTGCTGCTTTTAATATTTTCCCTGTATCTTTGAGCTTCACGGTTTTTCCTGTAATGTGTCTATAATGTATCTTTATCCAGTAAGGCAGGGTTTGTTGAGCTTCTGAGATATATTGATTAATGTTTCCATCAAGTCTGGGATGTTTTCACCTTTCTCTTTCTGGAATACCTTTTAAGCTCATATTGGAGCCAGGTGCCAGTGACTCACACCTATAATCCTAGTCCCTAGGAAGGCAGAGATCAGGAGGATCATGGTTTGAGGTCAGCCTGGGCATATAGTTTGTGAGACACTATGTCAAATATACCCAGCACAAAGAAAGGCAGAGTGGCTGAAGTGGTAGAGCACCTGCCTAGCAAGCATGAGGTCCTGAGTTCAAACCTCAGGACCACCAAAAAAAATCATGTATTGGAATACTTAATGGTAACCTGTGGTTCTCTTAAGGTCAGTTCACTTTTATTCATTTTTTTCCTTTGCTCTTTGGGCTGTGCAAACTCTGTCAACCTATGTCCACTTTCTGTGTCACCTCACCACTACTTTTACACTCTTCCAGCAAGTTTTCATTTCATTTCTTATACTTTTCACCTCTGGAATGTTCATTTGGTCCTTTTAAAAGAATATCACATTCTGTGTCTGATATTGTCTGTTGGTGAAGACACTGCTCAATGTCTTCCTCATTTAAACTTGTTCTGAACACATCCATGAATTGACACACATTGTTTGGATATATTTATAGTGGCTGCTTTCAGGTGTCTGTAAAGTCCGACATCTCAGCCGTCTCATAGGAGGCTTCATGCCATGTATATCAGGATGTCGTGGCCTGGCGGTAAATGCATCTCACGCTGTAGCTCTCATTGGTGTGAGAACTTTGAAAATATAGACTTAGATGCTAATATTATTTCACCCAAAATATGGATGCCCTCTTTCTCCTGAAAGAGCCAGAAGATCTGTGACATCATCCCAGCATTGCTGGGCTCACCTGTGTAGCATCTGTCCCCATATGGCAGGGTTTAGAGTGTGCACCTTGAGTCTGTCACAGCCCCCAGGTCCCTGCCATTCACAGCAGACCTGCCTTCCTCATTTATGTCACCTGCCTCATCCCAGGAGGGATTTGGCTGCTGAGCCAACTCTCAGCAGCGCCTCCTTAAAGCTTCATCCCAGCATAAGTGTGCTGAAAAATGTAAGTTAATTGTATGTGGACTCTGAACTCTATGCTTTATAGATAATGTTTATATTAGCTAAGATATTGATGTTGCATGTTTATATCCGACAAGATTAGCTGCATTTAATATAACAGACATCATGCATCAGATAATATGAGGATGATATATTTGATACTATCAATGTCATCAGAGGTTTTCACCAAGCAGTCATTTGAAGGAAGAACCAGCATAACTTCACCACAGGACCAATATCTCAGGCTGGCCAGAACTAGAACTTTGGACCAGAATTCCAACCAGCACTTCCCATTCTAGAAAGGACTCAAAGTCCATCCAGGACTGGATTCTGGTGACTGTCTGAGCCCCTGAGGCTTTGGATGGGCATCAAGCCTTCCTCTGGGTCCTACTCTGTCTGTCTGGGTTCTGACTTCTGGGTCTCTCTGGATATCTTCACTGTGATAGTGAGTTTGGGCATGCAGCCACCTCTTGGCAGCAGAGAACAAATCTTTCCTTTGTCAAGCCTCTTCAGGTTGGGCCTTTCTAAGTTCTGGAGCAGATGGTAGGGAGGCCACCACTTGTGTCTACTTTTTTCCTGAAGTCTCAGAGATAAAAATTCTCAGCTTCTGATTTTTACACCTTAGGTTCACAATTGACAGCATTCTTTGGCAATTTTTTTTTTAAAGTAAGTAATTTCAAAACAAGTTTGAAAAACACAATCCTTGCAAATATTTCTCTCTCATTCCCCAAGAATATGCCTGTTCTGCCAAAATGTTCTTCTTTGATGCGACTAGTTTATATGAAAACCCTGCATACCTGGGCTGGCGGCTCCAGGACCTGTGCCCAAAGATCTGCTTAGCAGTCTTCTCCATGCCAGGCTGAGCTGCAAGGGGGGCTGGAGCAGGAAGCTGGGTGACACCACAAGCTGGTCCTTCACCAGGCGGACACTGCTCCATCCTTCCTACACACTGTTTGATGAATATGAATTACTTGGATCTTATCCCAAGCTTCTAAGGGTTGACTCTTTAAATTTCTATTATCAGAATCTCCCTGGTATGAAATGCTCAAATGAAAACATTCCACAGAGAAGCACACATTACACTTTGCATCAAATCACACTCCTGGGCCCACATTGCTGGCATGATCCTGCTAAAAGGCGACATTTTGGTAGTGATTCTCTATGAGGGTACTATCACATCTTGCTGACTATGATTCAGACAGGGCTTTTTTCTAGGAGAAAAGGCCTAGTTTTTTTTCCCCATAGAGGTGATCCAGCAGTGGTGCTGAGAACAGGGAGTCCTGTTGGGAAGGAGATATCCTTGAAGTATCAAACTTAGTGAGTTGCCGTCCCTTCCTATCATTCAGGTGGACTGAGCACAGCCAGTGAGCTTGGGAATCTTGTGAACACTGTGCAAACCTTATTATTGAGCCAGTCACTATGTTTTGTAATGTTTTGCTACTGATTCTGTCTCTTCTATGCAGTTGAGCGTCTTCAAGGGCATGGACCCTGTGACTTTTTCTAGGTCTCTATGGTCCTGTCCAAAGTCTACCTTATAACATTGTTGACCCTGACCTCGGTCTGTGTTTTAACCTCAGACTTGCTGTGAGTTCTCTGTGCCTGTAAGATGGGAACTTCTCCTCTCTGGGCTACATCCACCTGTACAGTGGGTACAGGTCAGTTTGCACTGAGACAGATGCTTATAACATCAGAGAATGCAGGCCTGATTCCCCCCACCAGGCTAAGAACCATCAAGAGAAAATACCAATGGCTTCAGTTAGGAGAGTGACAAGACACAAATATTCTCTGGAGCGCAATGGAAGCATCCAAAGCCAACAAGAAACAAATCCTGAAGGAGACACCCTTGGAAAATTAGCTCACATTTAGAATGCAAGGGATTTCTAGAGGACCTAGATGCTCCTCGTGCATTGAGAGTACCCTTAACCAGTCCTCAAACCTAGCCCAACACCCTACACCAAAAGCCTATAAGAAGGGCAGGTGTGCTTATCTCTAGTCACAAAAATGATTCATCTCAGTATCCTTCGTACAAATAGATCTATCTTTAAAAGAAAAGGTATAAGTATATGAAAAGTCAAGACAAAACACACTCTTGGAGGGTAACTACTAATCCAAATTAAACTATATCTAACTCAGATGTTAATAGTATCAGACAAGGAGTTTAAGAGGATTATGGTTGAATTGAATTCTGTAATGGAAATGATAGACAACACAAAGGAATGGATGGGTAGTTTGAGTAGAGATGAAAGCTGTAAGAAAAAGTAACATGGAAATACTATAAATAAGAGTGTAAGTAGCAGAGAATCTTGGTGCTTTGGTAGACTTGTCAGTCATCGGTAGATCACTCAGAGCCAAGGGAAGAGTCAGTGAACTTGAAGGGAGTGAAAAGAAGTTACCCAAACTGAAACACAAAGGGCATGCAACTGATCCTCCATCAAAGGAAAAAACAAAAAAGGGACATTCAGGAGATCTGGGATGGTATCAAATGGTCTGATGTATATGCACTTGGAATCCCCAAAAGAGAAAGAAAATGAGGTTGAAGAAATTAAAAAAAAAAAGTCAAAATTTTTTTCAAAATTACTGACAAGACACCAAACCCTAGACCTTAGGTCATATAGCAGCAAAAAGAGCAAATACAAACAAAATCTATACCTAATCATTTGATAAAACCAAAGACAAAGAGAAAATTCTGTAGGCATCCAGAGGAACAACACATGAGCTCCAAGACACAGGGCTAACAGTGCAGGAGACCCTTGTTGGCATTTAGTGTGGTCATTTGTCCATTTTCATGGACCCATGTTTTGGTGTCCTATCTAAAAGCCAAACCCAGCTTTATGAAAATCCCTTGGGTATTTTCATAATAGAATGAAGACTCTACTTTCCTATACATGTCGGTCGACTAAGTCACATAGTTAAAAGCATTGCTCAGGTCGTCTGTTACCTGTGCTGATTTTCTGCTTATCCTATCAGTTACTGAGAGGGAGGGTCGAAGGCCAGCGTCAGCAGTATTACTGTGAGCATGTCTGTTTCTAGAACCTTTCAGTTTCTACCACTTCCACCTCTTACAGATTGAAACTCTGTGCATGCATACTTGCATCTTGGCTGATCAACCATGTTATCTTTATATGTTTTTTCTTATCTCTGGTAATAGTCCTTGTGATGCCTTCCACACCTAAAATTAATATAGATTCTTCAGCTCTTTTTCTGTTGGCATTTCCATGGCAATTTTGTCTGCATTTTCTTACCTTTAGTCTACTTGTGTTTTTAGATTTAAGTGGGTTTCTTGTACACAGCACAACTTGACAACATCTGTCTATTAACTGGCGTGTGTAGACCGTTTGTTCATTATCACTTTGGTGGAATTGAAGTGCATCGTCTTGCTCTTTTCTATTTATTTAATCTGTTCTTTGTTTTCTTCCTCTTCTTCTGCTTCCCATCTTATTAGTTAAACATTTTGTCTCAGATGTTTAACCTTATGAGACAAGTTACAGTTGGCTTATAGTTTATACGTCTTTATAAATAAAATATTTATGCTGAGGTTATAGCTCAGTGATGGAGTAAGTACTCGGCATTTGCATAGCTCAGGGTTCAATCTGCAGCACCAAAACCCAAAACATTTGTTGTTCTGTGTGTTCACACTACACCCAGAGTCTCCAGGACACGTTGTAATGAATCCATACCTGCCTTTCAGATGAAATCATACTGCTTTCCATACAGCACACAGCCCATGCAACCTTATATTCCCAGATCTTCCCTCCCATATGCTATGATTTTTGTCACATATTTTATTTTTACTTTTGCTGTAAAATACAATGCATTGTTATTATTTTACTTTAGACAGTCATCCATTTTTTCAGAGCAATTATAACTCTGAAAAGTGGATTTTATCCTTCCTTACATATTCCTATTTTAGCATTCTTCATACTTCTATGTGTTCATTCACATTTCTGATACCCTACTCCTTCTACCTAAGGGAATTTATTATTCATATACTAAGTATACTGGTATATTATTTATGTACTACATTAGTCAGCAATTCCCTCAACCTTTGTCTGAAAAAAGTCTTTATTTCATCTTTATCTCTGATGATTTGGTTTTTGGCCTTGCCTTTCACAATCAGCCTATGGTCCTTAGAAGCAAGTCACGTCTTTCTTGCGTGCACTGAGCTAGGCAGTGACACAGAGTGCTCTGGGCCTGAGTTCGAGTTCATTCCCTTCACCAGCTGTGATCCCTGTGAGCCTCACCTGGACTCAGTTTCCTCATCCATACTACAGGGACAAAATCCCACACATAGAGCATTTGGAGAGTTCAGTGGGTGTAAGTCGTAAATTTTTGAAAACAATGCTGGGTATACAATAAGCACTTAATACATGGTAGTTATCATTCCCTTTTATTTGTTATTTGGCAAAAAAGGTAAAATAAGTACTGTTTGAGTACCTACGGTGCCTTAGACACAGTGTACTTTGACAAATAAAATAATATGTGCAGAGTTTGGTCAGAATACAATAGATTTTTTTGCTTATTTTCATGGAATTTCCACATTTACTGTGAATTTTTGGTAAGTGTGCTGATTCTATAGTGATTTTTCTTTGTGAGATAGTGACACTTCTCTCAGGCTGCAAGAAGGGTCACGAGGGAGCCTTGCAATACTCAGTCTCCCATTTGCAGACTGATGGGTCAACATGCTACCAAGCCAGGGGATGACTGGAACAGACTAAATTCCTGCTGCTTTTCTAAGTAGAAAGTGAGGTAAATTATGTGTCTTACAAGATCCCCATGGAGACATCTTTACATCTGGTGAGCCCTCTCTTGTCTCTTTTTTTCTTGAGTAATGTACTTGCATGGTGTAACTTGACAGTAAAAATATTAACCTCTGAAGGGAACTTTCCCAAGATGACACTTACAAGCCATCTTACACATGCTCACAGATTAACGTGACACAAGTTGTCTGTTCTCAATCTCCATGTCCCTGTTCCCTGCTCTTCTTATATTAGGATTGATAGCATTTAGTTTTTGATAGTCCTCTTGGGGCTCAGGGAGCCCTGAAGGTATAATTTGGATGAATAATGAGAGTCTGACTGATTTTTATCTTGTCATATCTTCCTGCCATCTCCCAGTGTTCCTTTCCTTCAACACACCTGTGCTTACTCTGTCACCTCATATGAGGGATCTCAGTTCCTAGTCAAAGGGTCACACTGACCACTGGGGACTCAAGATCATACATCTATTAGCTTTGTGTCCCAATAATTCCTTTGCTTTTTCTCTGGGTCTGTTTCTTCTTGTGACCCATGAAACAGCTTTCATCTTTATTAATGTCATTAACAAGGGAACCTTGTCTATGTCATCCCCCCCTCCTTACCCAGACACACACTGCTTGTGGCGGCACAGGAAAGAACGAATCCCAGAAGAAACAGTTGTGACATAGTCATGTAGTCATGTATTCATTGAAGACCTTGTGTAACAGTGAAGAGGAGAGAGCTCTACGTCCTCAAGAAAGTTATCTTCTAGTAGGCGGAACAGAGCTATCTGAGAGGGGTAATTATTTGGAGTCTAACAGAGCAATCTGGAACAATTTATATAGCATAAGTCATGTAATACAAGCAATAAGAAGCCTAGGTAGTGTGATAAATAGAGCACTGTCATGAATATATTGCACACAATAGCACACTCAGTAAATGAGCTAGAGGAACAGTGTAACACAGTTGGACAGTGGCCAGCTAAGGGGGCAGGAAGTTTAACTTAGACATGACTAAAGGAATACCTTCTTAGGAGTGGCACTTGAGGTACAGTACTATACCTTACCATGCTTTTGACAGCAAATAAAAACAAACAAAAACAATGCACGTGGCTCAAAATGGCTTTAAAAACAAAGAAAATCACTTGATGAGTGTCAAAGTCAGGTGGCTCCAGGTGGGGTGGCCCAGAGGCCCCTTCAGGTCATCACGGATTTAGGTTCCTTGTCTTTCTGTCCTTTCCAGCTAGCAGTGTTAGCCTGGCCCCAGCCAGCTCCCACAGAGTTCTTGGATTCCAGCCACAGTTCCTGTCATTTCCCATATGACAACATTGGGGGTGGGGGTGAACACTACTTCCTGTGTGTCTCTTTGATTAAGGAACCTATCCCAGAGTCCCTGGCAGGCTTCTCACACCTCATTGGGCAGAGTCATATCATGTATCCTTCCTTAACCAATCACTGGCAAGGAGAATGAGCTTCTAATGACTGGACTGGAGAGGCTTGGGTTGGTTGGAGGAGAGTGGATTTTCAGAAAGCCTTGTTAACAGTAGAAAAGAAGGATGAGTAGTACGTGTTGGGCAGAGTGGCTGCTGTGTGGTTGGATGGCCAGTAGGAAACTGGTTATGGATGCCTCAGATCTGAAAGGCACAAGATTGCAGTCCTGGAAAGATCATGGAAGGGTCTGGGGACAGGGCCAGGCTGAGGAGAGGTCAAGGGGGAGATGAAGCCCCGTGAGGAGGCACCTGTGCCAGGCTGGGAGGGCCTGAGGAAGCAGATCCTAGTCATTAGGGCTCGGAAAGCCTCATTCGGATTTTATCAGGTGTGGCATGAAGTCCCTGGAGAGGGCTGCGGTGTGAGGGCATAGGGCAGAGCCCTGGACCAGGAGTCAACAGGGCCAGCTGGCATTGCTACACACATGCAATGCCTTGGGCAAATGGCATTCCCTTTTTGTACCCTGCACTTAGCAAAATGAGAATTGTGATATCACTTCACAGAGTTATTGTGGGGCTTATTGCATGGAGACATGAGAAAGACGGTCAGAGCAATAAGGTGCTATAGCTGTTGGCTACAGTTAAGTCACAATACTTGAAGTAGTCATAAAGTCACTATAAACTTAATTATACCACACTGAATCATTGCTGCTAGCATACACACACACACACGCGCACACACACACACACACACACACACACATCATAGACTTTAATCTTAATTCCTATATTCAACCCATTTTCTTTACCAAACAGAAATAACAATTTAGAGGTGTTAAGTAGCTTTCTTGAATCCATGCCACTACTAGGTGCCAGAACAGAGATTCAAACCCTGTCCCACTGGCAGGAACATTCTGAGCTGTACTCTGCTGTCTCTTACCCTGGTTGTGCTGTGGTCTTCCCTGTCTGAGAGCTGAGCTAAGACAGAGCATTCGTGCCCTTGTCCACCTCACCTGGGGATGTCTGCATCAAGCAGGTGACTCAAAGATTTTACTTCACTGTGCATTTTCACCAGTGGTCATAAAAAACCCTTTGTGCATTGATTTGGGGGTGACAAATAAGTTTTGGGGAGTGGGTGAGTTTGCATATTATAGAATCTGTAAGTCAAGAAGGCCAACCGTAGTGAGTGACCCATGGGGTGCAGAGTGTAGGTGTGGGCACATCTGCTGTGTCACCGCACACCTCGGTGTTAGGGTTCTATACTGTTAGTTTTATTGAGCTCTTCTAATTGTGTTACGTAAGCATGGGGGACACCCCCACAGAGAATCGTACCCTAGGAGGAAGGGCTCAAATGAGAGGCAACACACAGAGCTAAGACCTCACACTCTTACATTTTCAGTTTGTTTTTTCCCATCCTCCACTCCTGAAAGACAGGGCAGGTTTAAGTCTGCATGCGCTCTGAAAGTGCGCAGAGAGTCACTGCATTGTGATTTCGTTTCTTACAACAGGAAAGGTCTCATGGCTTCAAAGCTGATGTGTTCCTCGCAGTAGGACGCGAGCCAGACTGATTTGAAGTGTGTGTGTGTGTGTGTGTATGAATGGACAAGGAAGTGTCAGGATTTCCCACAAATGCAGGAGCGTTGTGGTCTCATTCTTGGAGGTAGGATTGGGAAAGTCCTAGAAAGGTGATCACTACCAGAGCCAGGGAGAAGATGCAGGCAGAACTCCCAACTGTGTCCCCTGCAGCCTTCTTACTGGTAGGGCAGCTCGTTCTCTGGGGGTGTGGCGGGAGCTTTGCATGCCACAGATGGGGTAAACTGACTCCAGGGGAGGTCGTGAGTCTTCTGAACTTCAGCATCTCCCAGTGCAGTGCTCCCGTGAGAAGGGAGGGATTCTCCCTCATGGGCTTCCACTGCCTTGCTAGGAGTCTAAAGGGATGGCAGTAGGCTCGGCACCATTAGCATCACGGGATTAAAAATAGGAACATGGTCCTCCCCTCCATTTCTGCTCTAAATGGAAATCTCGTTGTGATTGTTCTCTTTACAATGTGGGGCACAATAAAGCAGATATAAGTCCATTGAACGTGCCCTGAAAAGATAGCTGATTTCCTCAGCTCATGGCTTTTCTTCTCCCCTTTTAAAAAGTAAAGCAAAGAGAAAGATGGGAAAGTGCATTCTTTTTCCTTAAGTTTGAAAAGTTAAAGAGATGCTCTTTTCAGCTCCCATTGGAAATTATAGGGCTGAGTGACATTAGCTCCCACTGCCCCTGACATCTGTTGAAGTGGTATTATTTTAATTGTATAAATTTATGGGGAACTGTGTGATAATTCAACACTTGTATACAGTGTGTAACGATCAAATCAGAGTAGCCACCATTTCCATCTCTTAAATACTTCAAAGGAATAGATGCATAATAATTGTACTTGCTTATGGGGTAGGCTGTGATGTTTCAGTACAATCAGGGTAATTAATCCTTCTATCTTCTTATCATTACTTGGTGATTAGAGCCTTCAAGTTCCTCTTTTGTGACTCTGTTGTGAACCAATGGTTCATTTTGTGTCTTCTACTCCTGGTGTGGTCTTTGCTCCCTCCTTCCCCTCTCTTCACATACACAAAAGTGCATTTTCTCAACGACCCAGGAGAGAAAGTCAACAGTGTGTATTTGCTTATCCAGAAAAAGTGCAGTTGTCTAATACTTAATCTGTCAGTGGCTGAATTAAAGTGGGTAACTCCAAGTGCTAAGTCAAAGGACCATAATGAAATGCTACATCCTTTCCTCCACTCTGCAAAACTGTAGCCTAATGGGCCAACAATAATTACACCCATGTTTCTAGTGCATTTCATGAGTACTTTGCCTACTGGGACTTTAATTTAGTGCAAAGCTTTCTTGATTTTCCAGAGATCCTCTTTATGGATTGAATAAAGTATTTTTTCTTAGTAACATAAAAACCTTTTGTACATCTTCCAGTGTGGTGCACGAGTGAAACAGATGCACCTGGGGTTTGGTTAGTGGTAGTTTGAGTGCATAAAAAGGTAAGATAAAGAACAAAATACACTCACAAAAGGCAACAGAGGTTATAAACGCCGTTAAATTATGTTTATGGTTTTACTTGCTAGTATTTTGCAACATAAAATGGCTTTCCTGGAGTCTATTTATCAGCATTTGTCACTAATTAGTGCCTACAAATTACTTTTTGTACAAGTCTTGCTCTTCTGGGTGTCTTGGTGTGCAATAAATCAGAACTGTGGCAGTTCGTGAACTTTTGCTGCTATCAGGTTTTGCTCATGCATTTCCTGCTGATGCAAGGTTCTCGCTTTCTCCCTCCAAGGTTTCCAACAACTGTGATTCCATCTTCGTGAACGGGAAAGAAATGAAGAGCAAAGTGGACACAATAGTGAACTTCACCCACCAGCATTTCACTTCCCAGGTAGAGGTCACCGTCTGGGCACCCCGACTTCCCCTGCAGATTGAGATCTCTGACACGGAGCTGAGCCCGATCAAGGGCTGGAGGACCCCAGTGGCCTCCAACAGGAGGTGAGGAGCTGGAGGCAGGACTGTGGGTTTGATGCTCCTGAGGTCCAGATATTTGCTGTAGGCAAACTGGCCCCAGGGAGGCTATGGTCTGGGGTTGGGGTTCTGATGAGTCTTTCTTGGGCACTTTGATGTGAGGAAAATGATAATGAAGACAACAGCAATAATTATACTGGTAGTATTAACCATCTCACAGAGCGGTTGCTGGGATTCAGTAAGATGATGCAAGGTGTAAGTGCCTTGCCATGGGGAAAAAGGAACCCTCTTACACTGTTGGTGGGAATGTAAACTAGTGCAACCACTCTGGAAAAAAATTTGGAGGCTTCTTAAAAAGCTAAACATTGATCTACCATTTGATCCAGCAGTACCACTCTTGGGGATATACCCAAAAGACTGTGACACAGGTTACTCCAGAGGCACCTGCACACCCATGTTTATTGCAGCACTATTCACAATAGCCAAGTTATGGAAACAGCCAAGATGTCCCACCACTGACGAATGGATTAAGAAAATGTGGTATCTAAACACAATGGAATTTTATGCAGCCATGAAGAAGAATGAAATGTTATCATTCGCTGGAAAATGGATGGAATTGGAGAACATCATTCTGAGTGAGGTTAGCCTGGCCCAAAAGACCAAAACTCGTATGTTCTCCCTCATATGTGGACATTAGATCAAGGGCAAACACAACAAGGGGATTGGAATTTGATCACAAGATAAAGCAAGAGCACACAAGGGAGATATGAGGATAGGTATGACACCTAAAAGCTAGATAGCATTTGTTGCCCTCAATGCAGAGAAACTAAAGCAGATACCATAAAAGCAACTGAGGCCAATAGGAGAAGGGGACCAGGAACTAGAGAAAAGGTTAGATCAAAAAGAATTAACCTAGAAGGTAACACCCACGCACAGGAAATCAATGTGAGTCAATGCCCTGTATAGCTACCCTTATCTCAACCAGCAAAAACCCTTGTCCCTTCCTATTATTGCTTATACTCTCTCTACAACAAAATTAGAGATAAGGGCAAAATAGTTTCTGCCGGGTAGCAAGGGGTAAGGGGAGGTAAGGGAGGGAGGGGGTGTGGGTGGTAAGGGAGGGGGTGGGGGGAAGGGGGGAGAAATGACCCAAACATTGTATGCACATATGAATAAAATAAAAATTAAAAAAAAAGAAGTGCCTTGCCTAAGACTTGGCTTTTAGGGTGTTTCCTACCTCCATTTTGCTACCGTTCCTTCTTATGTTACTCATTCTCAGTTCTTCTGTCTGTAGATGTCAGCCATCCTTCCTGGAGAACAGTACAGTGAGCTCGGGAATGAGGCTGCCTGATTTTATTTTTGGTGATACTGGAGTTGAACTCAGGGCTTTGTGCTTACTAGGCAGACGCTCTATTATTTGAGCTTTGCTTTCAGCCCTTTTTGTTCTGGGTATTTTGGAGATAGGGTCTTGCTTTTTGCCCAGGTCAGCCTGGACTGTGATCTTCCTATTTTACCCTTTCTTCCATTACTGAGATAACAGGTATATACTATCATGCTCAACTTTTTTGTTTGTTTGTTTTATCCCATTGAGTTGATGTCTCTTGAGCATTTTTGCCTGTGGCTGGCCTGGAACCACAACCCTCCTGATTCACTCTCCCAAGTAGCTAGGATTACAGGTGTGAGCCACCAGCACCCAGGCAGAGGCTGCCTGATTTTTTTTAACCCTGTTTTTTTCCCTCTTATACTGTATGACCTTATAGATTACCCATTCTTCAGTTTCTCTATCTAAAAGTTGGGAATAATAATATTCCTGAAATGATGCAAACTGCAGTAGACTGAATTCTAAAGAGGCTGTCCCCTCCTGGATTCCCATCTGAGCAGCCCCAGAATGAACACCAGCTGTGAATAGGGGGCCTCAATCCTTCAACTGTAGGAACTGAGCCTAGCAGTATCCCCAGATCTGAGCAAGCATGGCCGATTTCTTGACTTCAGCCTTCTGATTGCCTCTGCAGAGAGCTCGGTTGAGCTTGGCGGGACTGTCGACCTGCAGAATCCTGAGTGAATTTATGGGTGGTGCTTCAGACCGTGGAAAAGAGTCACGGATGTGATTACCTTGTGTTGGGGTGCTACTGTAATACACGCCTGTTATGTGAGTGTGCCTTTTAGAATCAGGTAGTGGTTGGAGGCTGGAAGTATTTTGAGTAGTGGAATGAAAAAGCTGAGGTGACCTCGGTTAGATGGTTAAGAGAAGCATGGATGGTGAGGAGGCTCAGATGGGTGCCAAATGCACAAAGGAGCATTGTAGGGAAATCCTAAATCAGTTGACAGGGAACTGGAAGCACTGTGAAACGTGAAGGTCCCAGGCAGGCAGTACTTCCCTGTAGGCCCTGTGTCTGCCTCCTTCCACCTCATCTAGTGAAGTGCACTGTTCCCTTTGGGCAAAGCTGATAGGGGTGGGCTTGAAGCCCCCATAGTGTCTAGGAAACAAAACAGCCCAGAAGACCACTGATGGATGGTCTCTAAACCTAAATTATCATTAGAGCCAAAGCCCACAAAAGTGGGTCGGGACTTGTGTGCCGAACAGAGCAGATTTAATTAAAATAGATTTTAGTGAGACCCATGGTTTTTTTTTATCACAATATCCAAAATGTGTAGACTACTACTGATTGCTTTTTTGCTTCTTTTGGGTGGTATTTGCATTAAAGCCAGAGTCTGGTCCCTGCTAGGCAGGCACCATAGAAATTCAATTAAAAATCATGAGTTACATTAAGAAAAAAAAGCTTTCATAAGGAATTACATATAGTCTTGAAGCCAATGAAAAGGCAGACAATCTCAGCAAGGAAATGTAATTTGTAAAAAAAAATGGAACCAGATGTAAATTATATAACTGAAAAATAATAGTAACTGGAAAACCTCTCCATGAATGGGCTCAGTGGTATCCAGGAATACTCTCTGGGGATGGCAGAGGATAAAATCAGTGGGCTTGGGACACACAAAAGAATTTATTCAGTCTGAATAACAGAGAAAATATACTGGGGGAAAATAAATGAGTGTCAGGGACTCGTGGGACTGTAACAGAAGATCCAAAATTCCTGTCATTAGAATCCAGGGAGAGGAGAAAGAATGAAGAGCTGAAGTAGCATAGAAGAAACAATGGCTAAAAATGTCCCCAATTTGGCTAATGACATAAATGTACACATTCAAAAAATGTGTGTGCAGGAAACTGCAAAAATGATACACCTAAAGAAATCCACACCAAGACTCATCATAGTTCAGCTTCTGAAATCCAAAGGCCAAGGAAGGGTCCAGAGAGGAGTGACACCAGTTTCAACCAGGTGAGGGTGAATGTCTCACCTGCAGCCTGAGGATGGGGCATGTTGAATTTCAAGAGCTGAAAGAAAAGAACCGTCAGCCTGGAATCTATATTTGGCAAAAATCACCCTCCAAGAATGAAGGAGAAATGAAGCCATTCTTCCATGAAGAAAAACGTAGACAATTTGCTTCCAGGAGACCTGCCTTTAAAGAATAACAAACTGAGGCCAATAGGAAAAGGGGAACAGGTACTAGAGAAAAGGTGAGATCAAAAAGAATTAACCTAGAAGGTAACACCCACGCACAGGAAATCAATGTGAGTCAATGCCCTGTATAGCTACCCTTATCTCAACCAGTAAAAACCCTTGTCCCTTCCTGTTATTGCTTATACTCTCTCTACAACAAAATTAGAAATAAGGGCAAAATAGTTTCTGCTGGGTATTGGGGGGGGAGAGGGAGGGGGCGGAGAGGGTGGTAAGGGAGGGGGTGGGGGCAGGGGGGAGAAATGAACCAAGCCTTGTATGCACATATGAATAATAAAAGAAAAAGGAAAAAAAATAAAGTAAAATACATGCAAAAAAAAAAGAATAACAAGTGGTACTTGTAAAAAACAAATGAAAATGACAACCAGAGAGCACGCAGAATTTCATCTTTCTGAGCTGGGTATATCTTGGCTAACCTGATAGTCTCCAGTTCCATCCATTTTCTTACAAATGACACAGTTTCATTCTTCTTTATGGTTGAATAAGGCTCCCTTGTATATATCTACCACATTTTCTTTATCCAATCACTGTTCATGAATTTCTTAAATCACATTTGGTGGTTAGAAAAAATCATGACACCATCTGAAGTGCTACTAAAAGCACTTAGATAAGATCCTTAAAGGATTACAATTTTTGATGTGAAGGACGGGCCTAGTTGGAACTAAGGTATCTACACTCCGACTGACACAACTTTGGTGTCCTTAGGGCGTGCATTTTATGCAGGTAAGGATGCTACATTGCACACCTATACATGCAATGAGTCCTTGCAAGACTGGTGAAATGTGACTAAGCTCTTTAGGTGCCAAAACCAACTTCCTACTTTCCATATTGTCCTGTGTTATGAAGATGCTAATTGATGACAGCTGAGTAGAGTTCATGGGATTTCCCTGTGCTTAAACAAAATCTGCAGATGCCAGGTGCAGTGGCTTACAACCTGTAATGAAAGCTACTTGGGAGGCTGAGATTGGTAGAATCACAGTTGAAGGCCAGTTGGGCAAAAAGTTTGGAAGACCTCCATCTCAAAGGAAAAAAGCTGGGTGTGGTGGCAAGTGCCAGTCACCTCAGTGATGGCAGAAAGCTTAAAGCAGGAGGATTGTGATCCAGGCCAGCCTGTGCAAAAAGTGAGATCCTGTCTCCAAAATAAAAGAGCAAAAAGGGCAGGGGACGACTTGGCTCATGCATGGAGGGCCTGCCTAGCTAAGCATGAAGCTCTTGAGTTCAAACCCCAGTATCATCAAAAAGAAAAAAAATCTTTAGGTGAATTTGTAATTATTTCAGAGTTAAAAAAAAGAATAGGATACAATCTGTCCTAAAAGGACGGATCATTTTGTTTCAATAATACAGCACTTCTAAATATTTCACATATTTGCTGACAACTTTTATGATACTGTCACTTCTTAATGAAACCTTAAAGATGTTTCATAATGGTATTGTCTCAATTTTATCAATTTAATTAAGGGGAACTTCATATCACTAGAAAAAATGAACAAGTTGTACCATTTATCACAAGATAAATTTTAATCTGAAGATGAATAAAAGGACAACAGAACAGTTTATTAAAGTCTGAGTAGATCTTGTGTCTCCCTGTGTGGTGCGCCTTACTGACTAATGGAGACTAGCAAGTGCCAGGATGAATTTCAGGCGTTCTTGACATTTCCGTGGTGTACTCTAAAGGACTAAAAAATAAAAAGGGAATAACCTTCAGCTATTCACTCCGTGTTTCTGTCCCACATAAAGCTGCTCACCCCTCACTTTGGGGAGCCTGAATGGCTCTGTTACAGGGCTGGTGAGGACTTCCCACAGCCCTGTCTACATGGTTCTCAGATCTCAGGTAGGGGAGGGAGAGATGTATCATAAAGGAGGTGGGTTCCAGAAGTCCAGCAGAGCTGCATACAAACCCGCAGTCGGCAGCTGGCCAGATCAGAGATTAAGCACTCTGAGCTGTGGCTTATCCACAGCCATTGTTCAGATGACTAGAGTTAGGCACACAGTGAGGGAGGGGACACTGGCCTGAGCTTAGACCCCAATTATGAAGCCTTGGTGAGCACTCTCTTCTGTCTCTGTCTTGCTTTTGGTAAGATCAGGATAATAATTCAACCTTGGTCCTCAGCTCCTGTGAAGACTGAGTGAAGTAAATGTGCATGGCAATTGTGGAGTTGCTTCCTCTTCATCCCCTGATGGTCACAGACAAGGCAGGAGCCACCAAGCAAAGTCCTCCCCTCAGAGGAGACACAGGACATGTTCTTCCTGAGTGGAAGGTTCTAGAATTGCAAAGCCAGAGAGGATTTCTTAGGGTGAGCTGGGGATGGGTAGGGAAGAGAGGATGAGAGGAAGGAAGGAGAAGCCAGGTGGGTAGCAGGAGAGATGAATTTCACATATTTTAGCAGGGACATGAGCCCCTTTGCGCTCTAATTTTAGATCAGGTCAGGACTGTGGTAGGAGAGGAGCACCCTGGCAACCTCTCTGGCCATAAACTCAGAAGCAATGGCTTCTGTCGAGAAACAGAGCTGAGTCAGTGAGGAGCTGGGGTGCTGGCACCATCCCAAGGCAGCAGTGGTGAGTCTTTGGAGTTCCTGACTTTCTTGATATTGTGCACACCTTTCTGGTTTTCATTTCTAACATAAGGGAGCTGAGCACCTGGCTCGGGGCTCAATAGGAAGGCAGGGAAACAGGAATCCAAATGCCCTCATTGGCTCAGGACCTCAGCTCCCTCCACAGATCACTATCTTCACTGTCTCTGTGTGGGAAGGAGTTTTCAAATGACCAGTTTCCAGAACACAGAGGCCAGAGATTCTGCCTCTGCCTATCTGGGGCCCGAGTATCCCACAGCTCTGGACAGGGGAAGGAAGGGGTGCACCTGCTATCCATGTTCCAAGTAGGAAGTTGTCTGTGTGGCACACATGGCCACCAAGAAGTGCTTGTTGGATGAATGACTGATCTTAGAAGTGGGGAACAAATCAATGCGGAAGCAGGTTCTGCAGGAGGAAAGCCCTTCATTCCCTCGGGAGAGTCACAGCAAATTGAGAAAACAAGGGCAGGGGAAATTTCTTTCCAGTGAAGATGTTTGGTCTTTTTGTTTTGTTTGGGCTCCAGGCCAACACGGGAGAGTGATGATGAAGAGGATGAGGAGAAGAGGGGGCGCGGGTGCTCCCTGCAGTACCAGCACGCCCTGGTGCGTGTGCTCACCCAGTTTGTGGCTGAGTTGCCTGACCTAGGTCAGTTGACCTACATGCTGGGCCCTGACTGGCAATTTGACATCACTGACCTTGTGACGGAGTTCATGAAGGTGGAGGAGCCAAAAATCGCCCAGTTACAAGATGGCAGGACCCTGGCTGGCCGGGAGCCAGGCATAACCACTGTGCAGGTACGGGGGCTGCTCTGTGAAGAGTGATGTGAGAGAATCTGCATGGCCATTGTGGTGTCAGTTTTCATACGTGGAGAGCAGGACCCATAGCAGGTCTAACAAAATATGAAGGAGTTACTTCCTCTTCATCCCCTGATGCAACCCTCATCCCCTGATGGTCACAGAGTAGGCAAGTCATCTAGCAAAGTTCTCAGCCCAGGGGACACAGGACAGGTTCTTCTTGAGCACAAGGTTCTGGAATCGCAGAGCCGCTTTGCCTAACATCGGTCTGCAGTGATGAGTGTCCAGGAAGCCTCGTTGGGCAGGGAAGTGCATGAGCGTGCATGGGTTCAGTGTGTGTGCTTAAGAGAATGATGAAAAGCAACAGAACATTCATCAGTTTGAATAATCAGATTAATTTTTGCATTTTAGAGACAGAGAGTAGAGAAAAAAAATCTAATTTCTTTTATTGGTGAAAACTAAACAAAACACCAAGCACAGCTAGCCTTTTCCTGATACAATCATCTACATTTTGCATATCACTAATCGAAGGTGATAAGAAACTCTGAAAGGCAGTTTTTCCCCAGCCTTGAAATTTAACCATTTTGCTATATTATACCTTGAACTCTGGACAAAAAAAATTAAAAGCGTGCATTTGCATTAAGGATAATAAAGAGTTTATAGTTTAAAACTCTATTGAATGATAGTAACAGTAAAACGATTTGTAGCCAACTTTGTCAGTATAATTATGCAGAAAAATGTGCAACATGTCTTCATATACAAATTTAAAATGTTACTGTTCATATTAATTCAGTTGGATTTTAGGTATTGAAAAAGTTAATTTTTGGCAAAGCTGGATTAAGTGGGCTATATTCTGTATTTGTTCTTGATTTCTGTGTAATTGCCACAGGTCTAGCATCTTAAAGCAATGCTGACTTATTAAGTCACGTTTCTGTAGATTAGGGGATCCAGTGGGCTAGGCTAGGTTCTGTGCTCAGGGTAACCAAAGGCTGAAATCAAGGTATCACCTGGGGTGGGCTCCTGTCTTGGAGTTTCGGGAAATAATTGGCCTCCAAGCTCCTTCAGGTTCTTGGGAGAACTTAATTCGGTATGTTTCTGGGACTAGGTACCTGTTTCCATCCAGGAGTCAGCCTGTGCTCTGAGAGGCTGGCTCCATTCCCATATGGTCCCTCCATTGTCAGTATTCGTTGGATGGCATTCTCACACTTGGAATCTCCCTAATGTCCCTTTGGGCCACCAGCCAGAGTAAGCTCTCCACTTTTAAGGGTTTGGGTGATTACGCTGAGTCCCCCTGTGTAATTCAGGATCATCTGTGTTTAGGGCAACTATAGGTGCTGCCTCATCATTTTGAAGATACTCAGGGTTAGGTGGGACATCTTTGGGGACTGCTCTAGGAACTGTGCCTTTTGTTCAGCACTCATTCTGTCCAGGTGCACACTAGACGGCAGATCAGGAGGGCATGAGGATTCTTTTTCCCCACTTTGTTTAACTGGTTTATCCAGGGATGGTGCCCAGCCCACAGAGGACCATGACTGTCCCCTGATAAGCGTCATCTGCCCACTGGGAGGAATGGAGGCAGGAGAAGTTGGCTGAGCACTAATTCCTTAGAGACTTCTTACCACAGACTCACTGCTTTCAAAGCCTAAATATTAGTATTTTGCAAAGTGCTACTCTTTGAGTGCCTACTACCAAGGTGGGACATTTTAGTTTTTCTCAGAAAATGCACTGCTATTATCATGGTAAGACTCAAAGGAAAGCAAGTGTGTCAAGATGGTCTTTATAAAATTCCTTGGTAAGTGTCAATGGACACGATTTTGCTGAGTTCGTTAACTTGTCGGAACGCTGAGAGAACACTGGTGGTCGTACCCATTCAGTTTAAATGGCTATTGAGGTAGTGCCCTGTACTGACCTTCCTCATTCTCTTCTCAGGTTCTCTCACCTCTCTCTGACTCCATCCTGGCTGAGAAGACAGTGATTGTCCTGGATGACCGGGTCACCATTGTGGAGCTGGGTGTGCAGCTGGTGGCTGGCTTGTCTCTTACCCTACAACCTCACAGAGCAGACAAGAGGGCCATCGTCTCCACGGTGGCTGCCCAGGATGTTCTCCAAGACCCACAGCAGGTGAGATTCACAGAGGCTGTGTGTACCTAGTCTATGAGGTCAGCTCCTCTCTCAGTTATGGCATCCTGCAAAGGAGGTCAGTAGAGCACTCGGGCAGGAGTGGCACCTTTTGAAGCTCCTTCCTGCTTCTGACCCCCTGCCCAGTCTCGGAGGATCATGCTAGAGGCTTGGCTACATTTTCCCTCTGTTATTAGCTTTCCAATGGGCTAATCTGTGCTAGGCGCAGACTGCTGCTAACCGATGAATAAACGATCACTTGTTTCACTGTTGCCAAGCAAAATAGGTGATTTTTGGTGCTTAGAAATTCCATGTCAGCTCCTTGAGCCAGCATGGATAAGGTGCCACATTGCTACTATTTACTGCAATTATTGTCAACTCTGAAAGTCTCCTCGCTCCTCAAACCTTTACAAGTCATTTGTAAAGATAGAGGAACATGGTGCCGTTCAAGTCGCCAGCTCCATAATATGTGGTTTACCAAGAGCTTCCACCCAGCCCGTGCTTTGCTTTCTCAGCACCTAATAAAGAATATTCAAAGTGATATTACCTTAAGTAGCAGCCTGATTAGCTGCACCTGAAGTTGATTCAGATAAATTGCCTGATCTTTCAAAGTGTTTTTACAAAGGTCAAAGTCAAATTCTGTAGCATGGCTTGCAATAAATTAATTTCCACTTTAATGCATTCATTAAAGTATATTTTTTGTTCCTCATACCAGTGGGACTACAGCACATTACTGATGCCAGTTCAAGGCATAGCAGGAGCTGCTCGAGATTATAAAACATAGGAGTTTCTTTTTCTCTGCATATTTATCTAATTTACATAGGGAATCATGCTTGTGTTTGCAAATTTGAACCCGATTATAACATCATGCTTTAATTTCACTTTCCTTAGGAAGCAATAGTCAGTTCTTGGATTTTGTTCAGTGATGGTTCGGTGACGCCTTTAGACATTTATGACCCCAAGGATTTTTCTGTTACTGTCTCATCATTGGATGAAATGGTGGTGTCTGTCCAGCCAAACCTTCAGTACAAATGGCCAGTCTTGGTTGCAGAGGGTGAAGGCCAAGGTCCCTTGATTAAGTTGGAAATGATGATCAGTGAACCTTGTCAGAAGACCAAGAGGAAGAGTGTTCTTGCTGTTGGTAAAGGAAATGTCAAGGTCAAATTTGGGCCCAGTACTGACGCGCACCAAGGAGGCAGCAATGATATCGAGGGTGTGAACCGGGACTACAAAGACCACCTGAGTAATTCCATCCAGCGTGAAGGGAGCCAGGAGCGAGCAGTGCAGGAATGGTTCCAACATGGCATCTCTGGTGGCCAAGAGGACAGGACCAACAAGAGCACCACCCCACGGTATCCTGTGAGAGGAAGGGATAAGAAACTACTCAGAGGGGGTGCTGCCGATGCCTTCACAAGTTTCCCTACTCAAGGGAAGTTACCGGAGCCCAATAACCCCGGTGACCTTACCATGACCTCAAGGGGATTAACAGACTTGGAGATCGGCATGTACGCGCTGCTCTGCGTCTTCTGCCTGGCCATCCTGGTCTTCTTAATTAACTGCGTAGCGTTTGCTTGGAAGTACAGACACAAAAGGTTTGCAGTGAGTGAGCAGGGCAATACCCCCCATTCCCACGACTGGGTCTGGCTTGGGAATGAGGTGGAACTTCTGGAGAACCCCGTGGACATTACTCTCCCCTCGGAGGAGTGCACGACCATGATAGACAGGGGGCTGCAGTTCGAGGAGAGGAACTTCCTGCTGAATGGCAGTTCCCAGAAGACTTTCCATAGCCAGCTGCTCAGACCTTCTGACTACGTCTATGAGAAGGAGATGAAAAATGAACCTATAAATTCTTCGGGCCCAAAGAGGAAGAGAGTCAAGTTTACTTCCTACACCACCATCCTCCCAGAGGATGGCGGCCCGTACACCAACTCCATCCTGTTTGACAGCGATGACAACATCAAGTGGGTCTGCCAAGATATGGAGCTGGGAGACTCACAGGACTTCAGAGACTACATGGAAAGACTGCAAGACCAGATGTGAACTCCTTTCTTATGTTTGTAATCACCTTTATGCCTTCTGTTTTCGAAAGAGTTGGAAGAGTGAGCTTGGTCAGCAATAGGGGTGACTTAACACAGCTTAAATAGTGGAGGTCTGGCGGGATCCCTCTCTAAGCAGGCATCAGAGGCCTGGAGAGCGACTGCAGCTGGGTTTTAAGCCGGGAAATGCCTCTGAAAGAGCTCCACGTGGGGCTGGAGGCTTTGCAACACGGCAGTGTTACGTATTGCCTGGCACTGGCTCAGTGCGCGTGAAATAAACCTGACGCCACAGACATTGTTAGTCCCCTCATGACAAACGGCCATGTGTAATTAGGAAGGATTTGGATTGTGAGTTTTCTATTCCTAGACCTTTTAAAGCACAGTGGACACTTACTGCCCTTGGCCTGAGTTTAGACCTATGTGAAAGATGACTGAATGTAGCTTCCTTACTTGTTAGGAGCACTGCTCATTATTTTTATATACATTTGCACCTGCATCATTCCTTTGACCTCCACAAAGTTTTGGGTGTTTTTTTGGAAACACAAAAAGAAAAAATACTCAGTCTTTTCCTTGAGGTCTGTCTGTGTGATTTCCATATGAGTTTTACTCTCTGGGACTCACCATGCCGTGTCATTTCCTAGGTCTCCGTGTAGGATGTCTGTTTTTTTTTTTTCAGTTTCCGCACTTCATTGTTAGGGACAGTATCTAAGAAGCTTTTTCTCACTTTGTTTCTCCTTTTTGCTGTTGAACTTTCTTGTATATGACCAGGACAAGGGTTTTACATAAAATGTTAATATCCTGTGAGGGAGGGCCACCCATCTCTCTTACAGTTTTCTACATGAAGCTTAACAAATTTGGAGCAGTGTTGTGCAGTACATTTATTTTTGTCCCGTGCTTGTTAAAATTTCTGGGGGAAATCCCAGAATGCATTTCTGAGGACAGAAAGACCCCAACATTCCTGTATTGATATAAGTTCTTTGTGGTCAACACAATGTATTATCCAAGCAGAAATCTAAAAGTAGAATTGATCTACACAGCAAAGAAATTGCCTAGGAAATATCTTAGGATTAATATTTCTGTTCTATTACAAGAAAGAAAAACTAAAGTGATGTTTCAAGTTAGAAATCCATCAATATAATGACAAAAAATTTACAAAACTCAATCATGACTCTGGAAGAGATAAAACCTTCACAGGTGTACATTGATGGAGAAAAGCAATGGGTTCCCCCACAATTCATAAAAATATGTGTTCCAGGACTCCCCAGTGGCCGTTACAAATAAGCCACAGATACTGAAAAGTCAAAGTGGCAGGAGAAATAATGATTCTTGCAGAATTTTAAAATAAAATGTATTATTTAAAAAATTGTGAATGGTCTTAAGCAAAGCAGGAGTGTCAGATTAGAAAAACACAACTATTTATGAAGAGGTGTAACTGAAAAACACGATGCCTCATTAGGAGTTGTCTGACACACTTTGCATTTCTAAGAAAGATAGTTTTAAAGAGGCAAAGTAGGAAGGACATACAGGACATCACCTGTAGCAGTTCCCTGGATCCAATGACTGACGACTGAGATTTCTGAAAGTGAATTGTTGTCATTCAGTTGTTCTCTTTTTATAGGTGTCCAAGAATGGGAACATAGCATCCCATCCTCTTTTAGACATGAAGCAGTAGCTGGAAAGTTCTTCCTGTATCTTTTACCCACATCACTACAGTGTATTTGGAAACAGGGCTGGAGCTGCAGTGATGGGGTTTGACCTCCAGAGGCTGGTGTTTACTGGCTTCTGAGTTTAAAAATGGTACCTAGGCATTGAAGAGGGCGGGGTTCCTAAAACTTTTCCATTTGACAAGAGGCACAAGCAATGACTGCAAAAGGAGTTTGTACAGGGATGGATGACATATGTTAGGAAGAGCTCTCTTGTTAGCCAGCAGCTTTTCAAAGGATAGCCCAAACCATCTGTGCAAGGTGGAAAATTCAATGTGCTAATTGACGTAGTGAGTGTGGGTCCTTCTATAAGCCTTTTTGTTTGTGTGTTTCCTTTATTGTTGTGCTAGTTGGGAGAATGTTGTGGCATTTGCAAAGGTTCTTGCAATGTATCAAATATATCTGTAAGCCATTTGCAATTCTCTCTCCCTTTGGATCATCAGTATCCCAGATATAATGGGAATGAATTCATTTCTGAACCTGAGGCACCTCAACAGAAGGGGAGTAAATCTCACCCACACAGTGGGCTCCCTCCCTTGGCAAAGTGAGACTTTGAGTGGGGTTATAACTTGGGAAGAAATTACCATTGTTCTGGAGGCTTCATTAAGAAAAATGTGAACTAGAGCATTTCCTGTGATGAGACTGTGTGACAAAAGGGATAGGGAGCAAACTGAGGAGCACTGGGATGCACCCTTAGCTGAAAGGCAGAGCTGGGAACTGGCCGTGGTGCTGAACACGCCCACTGTGGAGCTGCGAACTGACAAAGGTCTTAACGACATCCCCAGGATGACTTAGTGAATCAGCCTCTAAACCGTCAGTCACCTGGGTTCTTTTTACTTAGAACTCAGTTCAAATGAAAGTCAAATGGGAAGTCCTGGGGAAGGGTTCTTTTTTTTTTTTATCATAGAATGCACATCCACCATGTATAGACAAACATCCACGCACACATATACCCACACACATGTGCATAGATACTGTGGGGTCAGAGACTAAACCATGTGGTGGAAATCAAGAGAAGCTGTCAGTCACTCTCAGATTTGGCATCGAGGACATTCAGCATTGCTGAATGTTTTGACATATTTTTGGGCTCTAAATTCTTCCTACAGATTCTAAACTATGGGTATATCCTGTTTTCCAGCTAGTCAACTACAACTGAAACCACTATATCCTGAACTATCTAAACTAAAATGTGGGGAATAACATATGCAATTAAGGCTTGAATTCCAGTTTCCTGGAGGTCATGCATTTGCCTGGATTTTTCAGATTTTTTAGTGGCTGGGGTAACTGAATTATGGGTCTTGATAAATTGCTTGAGCCAAACAAGGGTTATCAAGTTCCCTCCTTTCCCATGAGAAGGGCGTGCTGCGGGAGGCACCGGCAGACCCCTGCCAAGGGCACCAGGCTGTCTCCTCTGCAGTCATGCGGAGAGAGACTGAGACATGACACAAAGACATCAGTTGGTGATGTGCCATTACTGCCTCCAAGGTAGAGATCTGCTACTTTTGAGGCCAGAAACAAGGTTCAAAAAGCAGCTGTTACACCAAAGAACTGGAATTTAAACACACAGTTGTGTTGTATTTGAGATAGCAAGAAGAAAGGACAATAGCAGTCCATTACCCCAAAGACCAGCACGCAGCACACCCTGAGTGGGTCAGGAGAAGGACTGGTCAGCCTCCTAGTGTTTTACATTGTGCACTGGCTAGGGAACATTCCCAGATTATCATAATCTGCAATGTCTAGGCAGAAAGTTTTCTATTTATAATAATGAATGCAGTGAAAACGGATTGATTTTTTTTTATCTCTGTGTCACATCTGTAGACTTAAGCAATCTGTACCTTGCTAATTTAAGTTTTAGGGAGTCAACCTTTGTGCACTTTGGTCAGCATTTTTGGGTCTTACCAATGTTGTGATGTTGGGACCACAGTGAGGAGCAACTCACGCCCACAGAAGTGACCGCTCAGGGTGGAGTCTTCTGAATCCTATGCGTCCTTGGCACCCTGGGTTTTCAACTCTCACCATCTGAAGAAAGGTCTCAATCCTCCATTCTAGTTTCTGTAGATGACACCACAGCTCATTTATAAACTCAGTGGCCCTGTCCTTAAATAAAATTTTGTGTGTGTGATGTAATTCATCTCCCCTGTAATGTAAAGGGACTGTATGGGTGATAGAAGAGTTATGCTGAAATGTAGATAGCAGATATTTTTGTATGTAATATAGGCAATATATGGAAACTCTGGGAGATGTATTGGAATAAATACATTTTCAAATAAAAGCATGAAAAACTGTAGCTTTTAAATGTACAGACATCCAACTCAAAAATATCTCTACTGATGATGGTGAAGACTTTGGGACCTGACATTGACAAACACACTGAATTAGGATTTCTGGCCTGGAAAGGTGTGACTCATGTTGGGATGGTTACGGAAACCTGCCTGAACTTTTTGATCTCACTCTTCATTACTTTTGGATTTTTTCTTTGGAAATATTTCAGAAATAAAGTGATTTCATTTTCCAGGACAAAAGTATATTCTAACCACAGGGTAACTCATCGTTTTTAACATAAAAATAAACATTTAAACATTCTTCAATTGTTTCATTATTTTATCTGTATATTCCCTATTTGATTTCTGTATCTGTGTGATTGGCTGTATTTACAGTTACATATTTTTTTACTTTCAGTCAGAAATTTTAATATCCTTGATGCAGTCATACATGAAAATCAGGGCAAAACTTTTCCTAGAAGTCATCTTGTGACTCTGTTGAAATGCCCAGGGCAGTGGGTGTTGGATGGCCTTTGGTCTTTGCCACCCTTTTGGTTTCATCATTGGCTTGGCAATGTGCAGGGTTTTTGCATGGGGTCAAAAGTCCAGGATGCTGAGGTCCCAGCAGGAAAGCTCTAGAGATGTGAGCAAAACTCAAGGTAATTGGGGATTTTGTTTTGATGGTGTTGTGAAGGGTGTAGCTGAAAGACTGTTGTGTGCAGTGGTCAAGTCTCCACAGGCTCTTTGTTGCCACACGTGCATGCATTTCTTGAAATCACAGCACCATTTTGGGAATTCTGGCAAATCCAGATGATTCTGGCAAATCCTCTTGATTTTGGGATGAATAAGAATGTCTTTTTGGCAATACTTTGGCATGTCGTATTTAATGTTCTGCTAACACACCTGGTCTTTCTCCATTGGTCAAGTAGTTAGGTGTAAAATGCTGGCTTATGAATTTGAGGCTACAGAGTGGGAGGCTTTCTTGTCTGTACAATACTGGTAGCAAATGGACAAGAAAGCTCTTCTAGGTATACAAAGCCAGGTTCATGAGGGTCACTTACTTTGCAGCATTTTGGGTAATTATTTCCCACTAACAGCTTTCTTGCCTTCTTTTTCTTGGAACTTAGGAGGAGTGAGTCGTGGAACC